AGACAGCTTAATTACAGTCTGTTTGGTGTCTTTTTATTTATATTTTCTATCAAAAGATTATAACCAGTTCTAATTATGCATATTTCCCGTCATATATACACTTTTGATTCTTGGATATGTGAGTTGAATTGCTAGTAATGTTGAGAACCGGCAGGTTTGGGGAGAGTGCAGGGGAGGCAACTGAGGATGCGATTGCAACAGCAGGGCATTGTGCTTGCATTGCTTGGAACGTCTTCAAAATTAGAAAGGCCATCAATCCAGCATCATCTGTCAAAACAGGAGTGCTCAAGAATGCTGTCAAAAAAGGAGTCAACAATGCAGTCAAAAATAGAAGCAAAGATTCTTAAAAGCCATCTGAGATTTGTTAATTAGTGTTGGGATGTTTGATGGATGTGTAAAAAGTTGCCACTATGGATTAATTCTAATCGTTATTGAACCTATTCTTAACAAGCAATTGCATATTCGAAGTGGGAATTTCAAGTTTGAAACTCTTTTATCTTCTTTCATTTTTTTTTTTTTTGCCTTAATTTTTATATACGTTTCCTGGAACTCGATTTTAATCTTCTTCTATTTCCTTTAACTAAAAAATCGTCACTTTACTCTTCGAAACTCAATAGTTTGCTCCACTTTACCACCCAGAACTCGATTTTGATCTCATTTTGCCTCTGAAACATGAAAATTATCTTTATAAAATTCAAAATTCGATTCACATTGCCTTTGATCTGTTAATTTCTTATGTGAGTTTAATTTGGCAACGCCAAGCTAATCAATTTGTTTTTTTTTTTTCTTCATCTTTTCAATTTCTTTTAAACTTAATATTTTTTCTATTGTTGAATGTTTATACATAATGAAGATTTATAATTAAATTTATTTCGGTGGTGGGTCTCACATATGTTTCAGGAAGCGACCTATAAATTTCAAGGACAAGAGAGAGTCTACAAGACAAAGTGAAACAAATTTTGAGTATCAAAGAGTAAAGTAATGAGTTTTAAGTTATAGGAGACAAAGTGAGGTCAAAATGAAGTTACAAGGAACGTAGCTAATAATAAGCCTACTTTTTTGGGTGGGGTTGGTACATTATACTACATATATAGTTCCTTGTAACAAACGCAATTTAAGAGTAAAAAAGAACATGAAACTACATCTACCGTTAACAATCACAACGTGATTATTACCTGAAAAAACATGGAACTATATTGTTTAGGGGAAGAAGTTGGTCTCTTTCTTATTATTCATCTCTCTTAGACCACATTCAATGGTGGGCTAAATGCTAAATTCCCCTCCAAAATTTCCCCCCATACTCACTCCAACCCAAGGGAAAAATGTGGGCTAGATGCTAAAAGGGGAAGTAAGGCTAGAAACCGCCCAAAATTTAGCCCAAAATCGGAGTGGGCCCCACCGAAGAGAGTGGTTTTCAGCGTTTGGGCTCCAAACACAGCCCGTGGACTTGCCAAACACGCCTAACGCGCGCTCCTTCCGACTGCCCAGGACCACCCATATGGGCCTGTCGGCCAGGTTCCCCAGAGCTCCAACGACTCTTTTGATCGAACGATTGTGATCATCAGGCCATTGGTTAATCTAACGGCTGAGATCGAATATAATCAAATCTAACGGTAAAAAAAAAAAAAAAGATCTAACGGCTCAAATTTAAATCCAACAACTAAAATAATTAAAAAAAAATATTTAACTCAAAATTCACCCAAAAACTCTATAAATGCCTATGTATTTGTTCAAACATTCACACAAAACTCAATTTTCTACTACAATTCTTCCAATTGTACTAGACAAAATAATTTATCCAACGTACTAGACAAAATACTTTGCCCAATAAGACATTTAAATTTATTACTAGAAAATAACAACATAGTACACTTAAAATTATTACATAAATGCTTAACCAACATCATCAATGTTCACTTTCTCGACGCCATACATGCTCAACCAAATCCTTGCAGAGTATGTCATGACATTGAGGAGCTTGAATTCTATTTAAACGTCTTATATACTCAGTCAAGGTGACCATATCCTGTTGGGTCTCATATGTGGTTGGAGCGAGATATTCAACATCTCTTGCAATAGCTCTCGCATGTGTTGGTTGGTCATCATCCACATCTTCGTCTGAATCTTCTTCAATTTCGATGTACTCATCTTCCACAATCATGTTGTACAAAATTATACACATCATCATGATTGAATGGAGGCCTTCGGTCGGCCAAAATCGTGCAGCCCCTCTAACAATGGCCTATCGACCTTGTAGGATCCCGAATGCTCTATCGACATCCTTCCTGTAAGACTCTTGCCTCTGCGAAAATAATTTCTTCTTTGCACTATCAGGATGAGAAAACTTTTGACAAAGGTAGACCAACTAGGATAAATATCATCAGTTAGGTAGTAACCTAGCTCATACCTATTACCATTTACCTTGTACCGAAATTCTGGTGCCCATCCATTGACAACATTATCGAACAGAGGAGAAGACCAAAAACGTTGATATCGTTGTTTGATTCAGGAGCTGTTACACCCCACCCCCAATTATTTTGTAAATTTCATATTTTCCCCAAAAGGTTTTTGAAAATTTCTTTTTAGTCCCTTATCCTAATCTTATCCGGACCCTTTATCTCGATTTCTCTTCTCCCCCATGCTGCCACGTGGCAAACACCTAACTCCCATTCTCTTTTTCTTTTCCCGATTTCCATGTCTCTCTCACTCTTGCTGTCTCTCTGTCACTCTCTGTCTCACCCTCCCTTAACTCTCTCCCTCTCGGCTCTTTCTATCTCAGTCCTCTCCGAGGGCTTTTCTCACCAACAAACAACACCACCATCCTTGAGCTCCATTCCGGCATCATTGAAACTCGACGAAGGCGAAAAAGTTACAGAGCTCCGGTATGGAGGATGAGCTTCGAAGTCTTTTCTCGAATTCCAGTCACGATGGTAAGTTCTAAACTCTTTTGATCGTCTTTCCCTCATCACTGGTTGAAAGCTAACCCCTTTGCACTTGCTTTGGACGTCAAAACCAAGAAGAACCAGTTCATGATACTTTCTCAGTTTTCCGACGAGCACCGCCCTTTTTGAGGTCATTTTAGGCCAAAACACTGCGAATTGACCGACGTACAAGGTATCAATCTCTTCGTCTCGTCGAGTACTACAACTTCTTTTTTGTTTGACCCAATTTCGTTGAGTATTGAAGAAGTTATATCCATTTGTATCTTACCCAGTTTCCGGCAGACACCCGTGGCTTCCAGGCCATTTTCCGGCCACCTCTGGCCACGATGACGGGAACCAAGGGTATATTTTGATTCTTTACCTTCGGGGCTTCAATTTGGTATATTGAATGACATGTTTTTGTTGAGTTTTGAGCTCCATCGGAGCTTGGGAATTCTCCGGCCGAAATCCGACCTTCTTCTTCCTTGGAATCCAGTGACCCACCCAACCCAAGACCTTTGGGCCTTTTCTGCCGAGCCCAACCCAAACCCATTTCCTTTTTATTTTAATTTAGTTAAATTGTTTTAAACCAAATAGGGCCCTTTGGGCCATTTTCTATTAAGGGCTTGAGCCCGATCCCCCTAAACCCTTGCAAAATAGGCCTTCGGCCCGTGTAGCAAAACCCTAAACCTTTGGGCTTTAGGACCTAAGCCCTAATCCAGATCCAAACCCTAAGCCCAAGATCCTTTGACCCTGTTTGACTATTTGACCCATTGACTCGATCAATGGTCAGCGTTGACTTTGACTTTGACCGGTCAACGGTCAACGTTGACCATTCATTGACTTTTTTGGGTTTTTGTCTGAGACCCTCCTAAGCTAATTTCGACGTCCTGAACCTGTTTCTGATGTCCGTTTTTCCAAAATAAGTTGTTTGAGTAAAGTTTGACTAAATGTACCCTTTATGTGCTTATGGGCAATTAATTGTGGCATTTCCGTCTTCGCTAATTGCGTGGTTCTTCGGAAACTGAGTAATGTGAGTGAACCCCTTCTAAAATTACATGATTTCATAGTTTAATTGCATAAATGAAAAGCATGCCTTACGAGTTTATGGATTGATTTTATGTTAAGCATGTTTATTGAAATGTTGATTATCATCTCGTTATTTTGTAAGGAATTAATTGTTGGCCTATATGGAGCTATATTTTAATATATCGTATTTTCTATAAAAACCATGAACTGGTAGACTACCTGATGGATGACGATAGAATGCTAGAACATGTTTAGAAACCCCTCTTTATAGTATAGACGATTGATGACTTTATACTATGAAGTGGTTATTTATGAAAGGCGTAACTATTTGTGCGTACTTAGTGGACACTATTCCGCTTGGGGCGAGGATCTGGTGTTGGCAGTTAGGCCAGGAGAAATAATCCCTAGCTACGAGTTAAGGGACACGGAGCAGGCATTGGGCCGGAGTTGGTAATCTCTGGCTACGGGCGCAGAGACCACGGTGCTGGCATAGGGCCGGGAGTTATATTTATTAGTGATCTTACTAGCATCACACCGCGCTTACAAGACGATCTATGAGATGATTGATATTTTGATTTTCGCGATGTTTTTCCGCGATATGTCTTTTGAGATGTTTTTGGCTTGCTAGGGTTTTCAGTAAACCTATCACTTATTATGCTAGTAGTTTTCATTATTAAAACTTGGGGGTTAGTATGTTCATAACTGTTTTCGTATTATGTATGTATATAAATTTGGTCCACTCACCTTTGTTTTGCGCCCCCATTCAGGTCTTAGAATCGAGGCATACAATCCTGGCATCAAGGCACTTCAACATCAGCATCTTCAAGCCGTCTCGGTGTAGGACCCACTCCTTTATTCATTCAATTTTATATTATTTCTTTTAGTATTCTAATTAGCTGTATGCTCTAAACACGTTCCTAAGTTGTTAATTCATTGTATTTCAATTCCTAACCCTTATTTATTTCTCATTCTTAGCTTTTGTATCAATTAATGGCTTTCATCACCTTCGGGTGTCAGCCAGCACGTGTCTATCCTGGTATTCGAGCAATATCAAGGTCGTGGCGTGTCAGGAGCGCCGAAGAAAGCATGCCAAATCCATGCGTCGTAAGATGCCACAACCTCGAGCACGATGGTTGGCTTGTTATGACGGCCCTTAAATTGGCCAGCCCAACCAATAGGGCAATTCTTCCATTCCCAATGCATACAATCGAGACTTCCTATCATTCCAGGGAAGCCTCTTTTGTCTGCCTTGCGTAGAAGCCTCTTCAAGTCTTCACGATTTGGCTTGCGGAGGTAAGTGGCTCCATATATGCCTTCAATTGCCTTACAGAAGAGTTTCAGGTTCTCAATAGCGGTACTTTCTGCAAGTTGGCAATACTCGTCAGTTGAGTATGCAGAGCACCCATTAGCTAGCATGTGAAAAGCAGATGTGAGCTTCTAATGAGCTGATAGACCTTGTCAGCCTGCGACATCTAGCCTCCTTACAAAGTAGTGGTCATAATTGACAACTGCGTTCAAGATGCTTTCAAAAAGCTCACTCCTCATCCGAAACCGCCTTCGAAAATCATGAGCAGGAAATCTCGAACGCTCGATGAAATAATCTTTCATCATTCGGTCATGACATTCTTCTCTATCACGCTGCACATATGAACGCCCCGTGACAGAACCACGAGGCGTTGAACAATTCTTCATCCTCAAACTCAATCCTTGCTTGGTTTTGTGCCATCTGCATGGTCATGCTACGCCTTCTTCTATCACCCATTGATGAGATATTGAGGATTTTTAGGAAACAAAAACTCTTTGAAAGTTGAAAGATTGGTGAATATAGATGATGATTGAAGGTTGAAAGGTTGTGTGATCAACTAATATTGGACATATGTTTATATAGAGGATGATTGATGAAAGTTGAATAGTTGGTGAAAGGTGAAAGTTGAAAGTTTGATGTTGAACGGTTGATGAAAGTTGAAAGTTTGGTGTTGAACGGTTGGTGAATTGAAAGTTAGCCCAAGGTTGAAAGATTGGTGGAAAGTTGAAGGCTTGCTTTGTGGAAAATTTAGTGAGTTTTCAATATTTATCGGAATTTACATGTTTTTAGATTAAAATGTTCATAAAATTAATTTAAGATAGTCTACATATTTTTTTTTAAATTTAATTTAAGAAAAAAAATAGTCTAAGTTCATTCTTTAATGATTCCGGGCTAAAAAATTTGGCTTTTAGCCCAACCATTGAAGTTAGTCTTAAGCGTTGGAAAATGTAGGAAAAGGGAAGATTTTATTCACTTGGATGTTTTGTTTTATGTTATTTTATTAACGTCTAGGTTTTTTGTCCTCAAGGAATTAGGTTTTTTCTTATTCAATTACGTTTACTTATTTGATTAGATTTATTTGTTTGATTAGGTTTGTATCTCGTTCTTTATAAATATCTCCACTTAAAGAAGAGCAAAGCATTTGAGTTGTGCAAATTTATTAGAGCGGTTTAACTCTAAATAATTAGATCGTATTTTTCTAGCGATATCTAATATATTCTAGATTAGAAAATACTGAAAAAATAATCTTCGAAATTGAGTATATCGTTCTTTTTCTTAAGGGACAAGTTAGTGGTTTTGGCCACAACAATCTATTTTTTGAGGACAGTGAAGATTGACAGAACATTTTAGTTTTTTTCTGGCCACCAATGTGATACACCAACACTGAAAATCGAATTCAAACTGCGAATGTCACACGGGATCGTCTGTTGTGTTAGATTCTACAAGACACCCTCGAACTAACGTTATTTGTACGACAAGACTGTAAAACTTTAGAACTCTCAAGGTTTTCAATTCAGAATGCGCATCCCCGCGTGTATTTATAATAATTTTGAGATTACATCAGGGTTTATCAACCCTATTTAGACGGCAATATTTGAATTTGAATAATACAACGTCTGTGAAACAAACTTTCAAACATTTAAAAATAATCTAGAACTATCAGACTTATCGTTGGATAAGGACTGTATTGCTGAATAACGGACTTCAGAGTTTAAACATGAGCTGATAACTCTGACTTGGTCTAACAAAGAAAACCTATTCAATCTGAGCCGCCGCAGTTCTAACTCTCATAACTCCCAACCGCCGCTTCTTACTTCGACGAAATTAAGAAACAGAATCTCTCCCAGAACTCCAAGTTCCGATTTCAATGGAAGAGGACGACGGCACGAAGCATCTGAGCATATACAGGGCGGCGAGGACAATAAAACAACGGCAGAACACCCTCTACAACGCCCTCAAATCAATCTACGACGACTCAATCTTTGTCGGAGAAATCTCCCAGCTCTGGCCGGACCTCCCTCTCCTCGCCAACCTCCGCTGCGGCCTCTGGTATTCTCCAACTTCCAACTTCCACTCCACCTGCTACTTCAAATCCACCGACGGCCACACAAACAACTGGTCCTTCAACACCTCCCGCCTCAACCTCCACGTCGCCCAACTTGCCGGTAAGGTGTACCGTAACAACCTGCATCCAATTGTTATTCTCGTTTTTTTGTTTGATTATTGGTTTGATCTTTTCTGGGATTTTGTTGAATTTGGTAGGACAGAAAGGAGGGTGCTTTATTGTGGATGCGACTCGGAAGGGGAAGCGCTTTCCGGATAGCATGTCGAAGACGATTCCGATTTGGACATGTGTTTTGAATCGGGCGATTTATAGGCATTTGAAAAAAGATCGTCAGAGTGATTTGTTCAATGATGAGGCGAGTTGAAATTGAAAACAAAGTGAAATTTTTTAATAATTTGGTGTAGTTTTGAATTATGCATTAGTCTAGAAAGGTAGAGAATTTGATGTGTTTTTGTGAGTAAAATTTAGCTTGTCCTAGTTGGATTATAGTGTGATAAACATGTTTGGGACGGCTTTTGAAGGAAGCACTTTTGTTTAGAAGCGTTTTACATGTCCTAGTTGGATTGTTAGAATTTTTATTGAAAATCCAAGTAGTTTCTGGAAAAGCACTTGGAAGTGCTTCCTAAGGGAGCAACCAAAAAGCACTAAAAAGTGTCTTTATGATGCGTTCTGTCAAATGTTGTCAGAAGCGATTTTGGATGTCTAAAACAAGCTTTTAGCCATTTTGGAGCAAGACCAAACATGCCCTTAATTGGGTGCTCCGTTTCTTTGAGCAATTCTAATATGTGTTACCATTCTTGCCGAAATTATGTAGTTGTCAATATGTTGACTTTCTATCCTTAAAATTTTCTTGCTTTTGATCAGGAGCTAAGTACTTCTGGTGAACATTCTGAAGAGAATGGACAGACCAATTTTGATTGGGACTGTTCCTTGCATCTACCTCTTTGGGTTTCAGAAACAGAGAAGGCATCTATTGAGGATCGATTAGACGAATGGACTCAACAGTTGGAAGCCAGCGGTGCTGACATTGCCCCTCTTGCTTCTTTATTGAAAAAGCCGCTGCGCCCTCTGTGGATATCACAAAAGACTGTGATTTGGTTGAATGAAGTTCCGGACCATGAATCCTGGGATTTCACACCCATCATTCTTGTTTCTGCCTCTGCCTCTAATGGTGTTGTACCACACAGGACTAGTTCGGAATTTAGCTGGAATTACATAGCAGGAGCCGGTGATGATGAAGAAAGCTGGGCAAGGGGTTTAACACCTACCCTCTTCTGGAACCATGCCTATGATATTATCGATGTGGGGCCTGTTTTGTGTAACCAGATGGTAGCTGATATAGTTGAGAAGGATCGTGTTTATCGTGCTCGAAGGGGACAAATTGCTCCTCAGGTTTCTGTCAAGGCCCCAAATTTGGTAGAAAACTCAGTTCATTGTTTGCATGGCGACTCGTTGTTGCCTTTGGATATTTCAAACACAAATATGGATTTAAATCCTTGTGATGAAGATTGTCCTATGTCGTGGCTGGGTTCAACTGGCCTTGCTGTAGGCATATCTCCAAACGGTATGTTCAAAATTACTCATGGTTTGTTAGCATTCAAAATCCAACCAGACCCTTAATTTTCAGCTCCGTCTATCATTGCATGTGAATGTTATGTGTTCATGTTTCATCTGCCTCCCAAAACACTCCTTTGTTTCTCATTGCTTTGTTAATTCTTTTGGCTTACCCTTAAGTTTACCTTATTTGTTGCAGCTGCAGTATCTAAAGTTGATTGCATATTAAATTGTGATCAAGAGTCAATCCCTGTTTCTCATCGGAATGCTAAAGCATATATGCATCTTCCTATGGTGGTGAGTTCAAAAGAATAATAGGATAGCATTCTGATATTCATTTTCATTATGTACTTGTTCCACTAACTTTTCACTTTTCATGGCAGACATCAAAGTTTGATCGGTTTTCCTTGTTGAATAATCTCCCTTCTGCTGTGAACTTCGCAAAGTTGAATCTAAGTGAAGGGAAGACCCTCCTAATTTGTTGCCACAACGGTAAAGACTTCACAGGCTCTTTGCTTAGTCCTATTCCATTAAATAAAACCATTCCACCGTGCATAACATTGCATTTTATTCGAGCGTTTTTTCATATTTGGAATCTAAAGAACTTTAGTGGGGTGTAGTCAAATTTTGTTTTCTAAGTTATCATGCTTAGTACATTATGCTGGGTTCAGAGTCGATATGTCTGCTTTAACCACGTTGATCTGTTACTTGCCCTTTCTGAACTTAGTTGATAACTGTTGGAAAAATTAGGGTCTAATTGCTATCACATGAAAAATCAAGAAATAATTTATGCAATTAGACCCTAATTTTTCCAACAATCTTAAGACAAGTTTAAGTTAATGGTTTGATTGCTATGTTTGAGAACAATATTCTATCGTGTATGTTTCTGCGTGGATTTTCTTTTTCATGGTAGAATGTTTTGGTTTCTAGTTTTGCATAAAGCAGTTCATATGTTAACTGTTTCCAAATGTATTGCAAGTTTATTTGATTCAAAAGATGCCAACTTTTAACCTTTCATCATTATTTTGTTCGTTTGTCTTATGCCTTGTGTAGATGGGATGGTTATAGTTAATTGAACCAAATAACCGTTACATGTTTATTGCATATATGTTGAGATATGCATATGGCGCGTGTGTGGTATATTTTGTGTGAAGTTATTCTTACAATTTCGTATAACCATTTTCTTCGACTATTATTCACGAAATTGGTTTGGTTTGTTTTCATATATGATTTATATGTGTATGTTTTAAACTGTTAGGACATGTTTTAAACCCTGGATATGCATGATAGGGTTGCAAGCATGTGAATGGTATTTGATTCCATTAACCTATTTGATCTGATACTTATTTCTTTGAAATTGAGTTGCATGTGTGTTTGTTGAATTGACTATTTCAATTATATTAGCTTCTCTAACTGAAGGGCATCTAGTGTGAAGAGAAATGTCGGTCGATTTGAACAGACATGTATTATATATATCTGGGTTGCTGAATCAATACGATTCAGATAGGGTTGTATCTGTTCAAATTGAATAAGACATCTCTTCCAAAGGAAAGCACTTCAGGTTCTGTAATATATACGGTTGATTCAATGACTTACATGGCTAACAATAAGTGATATGCATGATGTTTGGAAGCTCTTGCGAAATTAAGAAATGTTGGTATATTTCTCAGGAGCGATGCATCGCTTGCATTCTAAATGCAGACTCCTTGTGAATGCATAGTGTCGCATTATTCTGGTTTTGACTCGTTTGATGTGTCCGACATACTACAGTTATATTAAATACTGTGTTTTGACACAAGGCATGTTGCATAAAACTTCCTGATTAACAGGCATAACTAAAACTTGCAGTGATATCATGAGTATGGTCATATTCTTGATAGAATTTGACAAAAAGGCATGATCGCTTCGATCGTGGAGTCATTAATTTGGTCCATCTCAAACTGTAACCTTCGGTTGCAGTGATGGTGCCATTTGAATGGCATCAGTTGGCTTTGTTGTACTTGAAAAGTCACCATATAGAAGTTACGTATAATTTTCTAAACAGTAAAAATGGAGGTTTTCAATATCATCTTTATGCCAAAGACGTAAATGGTGGTGCATCACACTCGTACATGTTCGTGAAATGTGGTATAGTTTCAGACTGGTGCCATTTTGGAATTAGCTTCCGTAGTGGACACATCTTTAATTGTAGTCTTAACTATTATTATAATAATGTTGTGGTTAATTTTATGAGTGTGGTTCTTGTTTAATTTCAAGAAACAAAAGGTCTGGATACCTAGTTGAATGTAAAAGGAGTGCTTCTTATACAAGGGACTTGTGAGGCTTGAAAGCCTAGAAGTGAACAATAGACAAAAGAGAAAATATCTTCGTTGTTTCCTACTTCATAAGTATGATAAGTGAGTAATTGATAGCTTTAAAAAGCAACCACAATGTACGGGAATTGTGGGGGTGGCTTAGCTATTTTTGAAAAATGATTTACTTAAGTATAATGGAAAAGTAATTTGCTTCAAGAAAAATGATATTCTTTAATTTAAGGTATTGAAAGGTTAGAAACCTTTCGAAAAAAAATACCTTAAATGTGGGGGAGTTTACTGAAGTATTAGCAAATTACTTACCAAGTCCGAATGCATGTTTGGAGGACTAAACGTTAGAAAACAACTATTCTCGAATGAAATATAATTTTATAAATAGAAATGCGCACCATAAGAGATAGTCATCAACCTAGTGGATCCAATTAATTAAAGGTTTGACCAGAGAGTAAGTCATATCATTGAGGGGAATGGGTTAAAAGCCTACGTCTTAAGAATCGCCATAATGGCAACCCAACCTAGGTGACTGGAGATCCCAAGATCTAGGTTCAAAGGGACAACCTGTGGATGATTCAATGGGAGCACTGCGGAGATAATCTCCTACCCTTGTCCTATGATGACACAGTGCTATCTGCAGTGTATTTAGGATAAGCTTTGCTTTTAATGATTCCTATACTTGGAAATAACAAGTGGGGTATTGCAGGATACTCTTAATGGGAAGTCACCTATCTTGAGTGAGGAATGGGGCTGTTCCTGTGAGAATTTTTTGAAAGGCTTAGTTCTCTAAAAGCACGCATGAGAAACCAAGAATTGTTCAGGGCCAAAATGAACACAACCGAGCAACCACAAGGTGTCTGGAAGGGTATTGTGTGATTATTATTGTCTTGGTTTACACAAACGGCTGAGCAGTTCAAGACATCGCGTTCACTGATTAGCCAAGTAAATCCGATAGTAATTCATTACGGCAGGTTCAAAGCCAAAAGCCACCTATCCTGATGCGGTACTTTTCCTATTGAATTCTCGCTCTAGTGTCTGCATTGTCATTTGTATGGTATTGAGTCAATTTCCATTCATGTGGGGGATTGTTGAAAAATTTAAAAATAATATTATTATATTAAATTTATTAATTGAATGGAAATTAGAAGTGGAGCCTTTTGGTAGAAAGATGTGTCTACTTAAATGAAGTGTTGCAACTTTTGACTCTTCATGAATAGTCACATGCTTTCCAAAGAGGTATCTCACATTCTATAAATAGGGAAGCCTCCTATAATCACAAAATAACTTTTCATCATACATACATATAGTGCATTAAATATTAGAGAGTCTCATTTAGTCCATATGAGAGAGTTTTCAACACAATCGTGGTTCATGGAGCCTTGTGATTTGGAGTGCTACTATTACAAGGACGTGGTCGTTGTATCTTGGGAGACATGCGCCGATCAACCATGAGCACTGTAATGGGGCGTAAACTTGTTTTAAGGACTAAGTGTCTAACACTTTCCTCGACCGTATTTTCAGGTTTTTCTAATCCATTATGTTATGTTCGTTTAACATTAGTTACTCATGTTGCATGCATTACTTTGATATATAATTGCATAAATTATTTCTTGATTTTTCATGTGATTTAATATAGCAATTAGACCCTAATTTTTCCAACAATAACGATATAAATATATATTATAATTATACTATGTGAAACTTATACGACATAATGTTTAATTATTATTTTTTTGTTCTTGGATTACCGTTAATGCGTCTGCTAATATTTTCCAATCTTCTATTTATTCCAGGGGAAGATATCAGCGTATGTGTATGTCTGGCAATCTTGACTTCATTATTTGATGATCGAGGTGTGCCTTCTTATGCTTCTAGAAACTTCTTCAACTTTGAATTTGATGGGTTTTATTGTTTTCTCGTTGTGTTGTATGTGCATGTATGTGTATATCTGTATTGTCATGAGTGTAAGCCATTGAGCGTATCTTCTTATTTCATTGATATTATGGTTCTCTATCAAAAGAAATGATGTTCTTGTTGTTCTTATTTCTTGGAGGGGTGTTTAGATTAGATGTAGCGCATAATCCCCGCCCCCTCATCCCTTTTCAGTTAAACATATTTGTCTAAGCTAGCTTGTAGTAACTGACTCATTCTCTCTGTGATTTAAATTTTGTTTATTGTCCTGGATGTTCATTATTGATTCATGTTTTACCGTTGCACTACCAGCATTTAATCTTATTCAAGGAAAGTTGTAATGATATTTTGTTCGAGTATTTTCTGACATTCCGACAATGTCATTAGGAACCTTTGATGGTGGAAGCTTCTTCAGTGAGACATGCATTACAAAATTAGAAATGCGGAGAAGACTCGTAACTATCTGTAAATTTGTAGTAAATGCAAGGCCTTCAAGAGGAAACCTGAAGCAAGTTTTTGGTTTTCTTAATGGCGGAAGAGCTGTCGCGGAGAACAGGCCTGCTTAGACCTTCACTTGCAGAATTAGTTTGACTAAATTAGCTAAGCATTTGTACCGAAAATAAGCAAGTTGCATCGTTTCTGGGCCACAGCTTCAAAGCTTACTTTAACAAGTCCATTTGGTGTGATCTGTCGCAATTTTGAGAGGGAGGCAACTCATCAGGCATGGAGCTGTATAACCGAGTAACCATTGTAACAAAGGGAAAGGGAACTCGGAGAACAAAGCAGATACGAGGCTCCCAGTGGGAAGAGGAGAGTTACGTTTATTCACTTTCATTCGTTTCGCACTCTCTTGCATTCTTTAGTAGCTGCTAAATCCTTGGCAGAGCATGTTTTTTGCAAGGCCATGGACATTTTTGTTGTAAGTCTTCATTAACAACTCTGGGCTTTCATCGAATCGTTTGAGGTTGGGCTGTTTATGATAAATGTGAAATATACAAGATAAAGCATATCTTAAGATTTATTTCACCCAATGTCATATGTTTGATTTCCCCCTTCTCACAGTATCGCTTGTATATTAAACCATGGAAATGTCGGAAAATTATGGTATGTTTACTTGTGTGTAATAGGTGTTAGAATTATTTCGATTATTTGCATGTGTTTACTAATTTCTAACTTTTTGTGCGATAATACCCTGTGGAACTAAAAAGGTGTAGGTTTTACATTAAATTCGTAATCTAATACATAAAAAATTAGGAATAAAATCAGTTACGATGGCTATTGGTTCCTTACTCATATTCTTTCTTCTTCTTTCTTGATTCATGACTAACTTATCCTAAACCTGAAGACCAGAAATATAATATAATGATCAAGAATTTGGAGTTGGTACCATGGACCCAATAAAAAGGCTTTAATTGAGTGAACTTGGCACCATTTGAATCGTTTCTTTTGCTTTGCCTTAATTAGAAGACAGAGGATGATGGTGGATGCCAGGTGGACATGTGAGAACTAAATACATTTTAGTCACAATATTATATTAGTTTGAATTTAAAGGTTTAAAATATTTGTTATTCAATATTACGATCTGATGATATTCCTCTTCACTTGGAAGTGAGAGATCTTAGGTTTGAATCTCGTAGATGACGAATTCGATACCAAATTAGACTGTCTATTGTATGGCTTTGCTGAACTCCCTCTTTCCTTTGTATAAAAATATCAGTACTCAAAAAAACAAAAGATTTAAAATATTTGACGACTTAATAAAACAAAACCAACTAAAAAATCATGAAATTAGAAAACTTATTTTCTTATTTTGTTTTATTAAATTGTCACGTACTTTATACTTTTAATTTTAAATTAATATAATCTTTTGGTTAATATTTATTTAGTCCTTATACGTCCTAAAAAATTCATAATGAAGAATTTAGGAGAGCATGACTCTGGTTTGAAGTGCATATACATAGAAAAATCCAGCATTTTTGGCCCCCTTCAAAGCTCAACCTAACCCGCACCACAAATGGCGGTGCTCCCGTAGTCCCACCTTGGCCCTTAATCACACCTTTAAACACTTTACTTAAGCTATATAATTATTCCTTATTATTTGATCGTGAAATTAATATTTCACATTTATATTTATTTTATGGAACTATATTATTTCACATTTACATTTACTTTATGGAACTATATATATATCAGACTCTTTATGGTTTATGCAAAGGAATTCTTATTTTTTTCAAAAAAATGGGGATTACATATGAAACTTACTTCACATCGAACTTCAACGATTCGAACCGTCTATTTTGTAAGTCTCGATTTATAGATCATCCTTGCAAAAATTCAATTCAATCCGAAACCACTTGCTTATTTAATTATCAAGATAAAATTTCATTGTTTCTTATATAACAAAGTATTCGTTATTTTCTTTGAACCCAATTAGATGTCTTAAACATTTCCGATTTGGCTAATATTTTGCATGGATGATCTATGAGTTGCAACTTAAAAAATAGACGATTCGAATCGTTAAAGTTCGATGTAGTGTAGATCCCACAATTAATCCTTATTTTTTATAAATAAAAAAAAATAAGAATCCCTTCTATTAAAGATTTCCTATATACATATACATAATATATATATATATATATATATATATATATATAATAGAAAGTTGGTGTCACATCCCGGTCCCGGCCCTTACCACATTCCGGGCTCGACTCTACTGTAGCACGATATTATCCGCTTTGGGGCCTTACCACACCCTCACGGTTTTGTGGGAACTCACACGAGAACTTCTCAGTGGGTCACCCATCCTGGGATTACTCTCGCACGAACTCGCTTAACTTTAGAGTTCCTATGGAACTCGAAGCCAGTGAGCTCTCAAAAGGTCTCGTGCTAGGTAGAAATGAGAATATATATATAAGGCTTACATGATCCATTCCCTTGGGCGATGTAGGGATGTAACAATCTACCCCCCTTAAGAGCTTGACGTCCTCGTCGGCACACTTCCGGCTAGGAATTGGCTTTGATTCCAAATTGTCACATCTGACGCCCACCACATTCTCAGCTCGACTCCACCGTAGCACAATATTGTCTGCTTTGGGCCCTGACCACACCCTCAAGGTTTTGTTTTTGGGAGCTCACATGAGCATAACTTCCTAGTGGGTCACCCATATTAGGAATGCTCTCGCGCGAACTCGCTTAACTTCGGAGTTCCTACGGAACCCAAAGCTAGTAAGCTCCCAAAAGGCCTCGTGCTAGGTAGAGATTGGAATATACATATAAGGCTTACAGGATCCATTCCCCTAGGCGATGTGGGATGTTACAGCCGGGGGCTCACGTATGCCGACAAAAATTTGGGGTCACGCCATTCGACAAAAATATTAGGATAAATTGCCCCTCAACAAAAAAAAGTCCAAAAGCATCCCAATATAATATATCAAATAATGCGGGGGTAATTTGGTAATTTGATTATCATAAAATATAATATAAATATAAGTGGGAAGAGAGAAAAGAATACAAAAGGTTTTTCTCACACAGTTAACAATGTGATTAAATAAGTTGTCAAAAGTCTTTCACACATGGATAATAATGTGATTAAATTAATTATCAAATGATTGTTTTTTTATTTATTTATAAATAAACGATGTTATCTACACTAAGAGAGAAGAAGATGAGCTTAACCTTACAATAGACTAGTAATAATATGATTCAATCAATTGTTTATTAAATATTATTTTTTTTATTCTTAATGTAAATTCTATAGAGACTAATTTTATTATGTGAATTCAGCTGCTTTAATTGGTTTATGAAGAGTTTCTTCTAGCATGATCTCAAATTATTCATTTACTTCAAATATTTGACTTTCCTTTTGTCAATTTACGCATATAAATATATTTAAAACGTGTAAGTAGCACGTACCATACCGTGATTCAAAAAATATTTTCTGCACATGCGTGAACCAATGCATGAAGACTAGTATATATATGCATGTACATATATATAATATCAAAAGCTATCAACCTAACATTTCTTTTTCAACTTTTACTTTGCTGTATAATCATAAATAGTGAATTGTACAGTCCCGACTAGAGAAACTTGCGGACTGAGATTAAAGAGCGTAGGACCAACCTCTTTTCTAGATATACCACATTTTCATTTTTCTTGTCATCAGTAGATTATTAGTTTATGGTGTTGATGGTTTGATGATTACGACATTCATACGTTTGATCCAATTAGTGGCGGACATAAGCTTTTTATTCACACATCTGTTTTTATTCTTCACACACTTTTATTAATTTTTGTACTTTTATTTTTTTTGAATTCATTCCATTTGAGGATCGAAAATTGATGAGTGTATGAGAAGTAAAAATAAATGTCGATAGCACACCCCAAAATTTATCAAACAAGAGTGATGGGCCATTAAACTTTTTATGAAAACTTTAGTATTTAGATGATTATATCATAAAAATATAACTTGTTTACGAGTTTTAATAAAAAAGAAAGATCGAACAAAAATTTAAATTCATAACTCAAAACTAATACAATGAGATTTTCCTTTCAATATAATTGAATCTTCTTCTAAATGAATTTCCCTTTCAAAACAGAAGGCTAATTATTTTGAAAGATAATTATAAGGTTTATGGACCTTGTTTTATATGGTAAAACAAAAGAGTTTAAGTTTGAAAAAACCGGAAGGCTGTTAACATCAATGATTTTCAAACATAGGCCCCCATGCAACTTCAAACACCACTTACCAATGTACTATAAGGTATTTATTGAAAACATTAGGAAACAATACATATATATTATCAAATTTCAGGATAGGCTTAGGCCATTTCTGGTCTCCATATGGCTCCGCCACTAGATCCAATATCATGTAAATCCATACATATGCATGTTTAACATGCACATATATCTTTTTTTTTAATCATTAAAATAAATAAAAAATTCTTCTTTTTTTTTCTTTTGAAAAAAAAACTTTTCAATGATTTTCCAGTTTTGTCATGTTTAGGTTAAATTTTGATATGTATAGTTTTCAGATTCGTGGGTCTTCGCTATAATTTATTTAAGTTTTTCAAAAATTATATTAATTAAGACCATGTGAAATATAGTCCATTTCAAGTTAAAATGTGACTTAGAAGCTTACGAGTTTTCAACTTACATTTTGACTCATAACTCAAATACATATCTACACCATCAAGTTAATGTGTTTAGTAATTGTGAATCAAAATTTGACCTAATGAGAGAGCACTTCACCTTAAGGATGAGATCTTCTTAGGTAACCAGAATAAGTTATCCACATCGATGAATTTGATTTTCTTCAACAACGAACTTGTAAACATAATGCTTAACTTTCTTTTAAAGCTTTAGGGTTTATGGTTCATAATCTCTCAAAGAAAATATAGTCATCGCCTTGATTACCTTGGCC